GGGGGGGGGGGGGGGGGGGGGGGGGGGGGGGGGGGGGGGGGGGGGGGGGGGGGGGGTCAAGACCAGCTGACAATGAGAATAGTTGGTGCCTGTGTGGGCTTCAGTCTACCCAGGATGGGGCAGCCGTGTAGGGTGTCAGGGCTAGACTAAGGAAAAGGATGCTCGTCTAGCGCGCGGGAGAGTAGAATCAACGGCAGCGGTTAACGTGCGGTGCGTCGGGAGACGAGCGGCGAGAGCCGTGGGCTAGCGAACGAGGGAGGAGGAGGAGGAGGCGTCGCCCCACGTGGTGATGAAATACCCCGCACCAGCAGGTGTTGCCTACGGAACGGGCTTCTTCTGGCTGTGCGCGGGTTTCCGTGAGCATCCTGATATTTTCCGGCTTGTTTTTTCCTGGACTTTCGTCGCATGTTCCCTCCGTCACATAGTTGTCGCATACCATCTTGGTGTGCAAGGCGTGTAGCAGCTCTTGAGGTCATCTGCGAGCACTCACTCGTTCTTGCTGCATGCATCCAATGAATTGGCTTAGTCTGCTGCGTGTTACCCTTGTCATGTCGCGCCTTCGTTGGCGGCGTGTTGCGTTTTCGTGCGCAGAGTGGAGCGGAGATGGAAGGGCAGGAGGCGGCGGCGATGGAGGGGGCCGGGGAGGATATAATGCGACAAATGATGGGAGAGTTCGGGAAGATGGGGGAGAAAGAGGCAAGACACACGGGCAGACAACGGGCGACGTAAACAGAGGGGGGCAGACAGCGACAGATTTGGACAGGAGACAGACAGACAGACAGCGTGGAGACATGGAGCGAGGGAGACAGACAGGGGCAGATAGACAGACGGATAAGGATGCCGTTAAAAAAAATCATACGCTGCCGGCCAAGTCCGATATGGCTCTGCACGTCTTCGTTGCACTCTCTGGCCGCGTAGCGTAACCTTGCTCTGCGTGACGCAGGACGGAGACACCCTTGCATATGTGACCAGTCGCTAGAGAATGAAAAAGAGCGATCACTAGACATGTTTTGGAGAACTGTTCCGCGCATGGAACCTACATTCTCGCCTCTCGACGTGGGTAGACGTTGCCAGCGAAGCAAAGATAAACGGAACACAGGGATAGATTCATGCCACCCTGACTTCTTGCGTTAGGTTAATGGTGTGAAGCTAACGCGATGAAGAGGCACCCTGGTTGTGCTTCCCCTTTTAGCAACGTATCATTCGTGCGACTGGGCTCACGGGTGAAAAGCTGATTATATCGTGACTATATCTGCGGCGGATTTTTCTTTGCAGGATTACAACGGGGTCATGGACAACATCATGCAGCAGCTGCTGTCGAGGGAGTTGATGTACGACCCGATCAAGCAGGTGACCGACCAAACTAGATGAGCACACAGCGAACATTTTGTTGACGTGTTTTGGCCGACCACAACTTGCAGTGGTTCTGGAAGCGCTGGTGTGTGTTGACGGTGACACGTCGTTGTCGTGGTTTTCCCATCCAAATACGGGGGACCCGCAGATTGAACTTGTGTTGTCGGGGGGGGTGAAGATACCCCGCTATCGGGTGGAAGTAGATGTCATACAGTCCTCGACTGGTTACGGGCCTGCTCTTTGGCACAGAGCTGTGGTGGCAACGTAGTACGTTTTGAAAGCACGTGTTCACAGAATGAAAGCATGACCCTTACGCCCAACAATGTCTGTCTCTTGGCGTGTGGCAGATCTGCGATACCTACCCGGAATGGCTGGCGACACACCGGGAGAGGTTAGCGCCAGCTGACTACCAGCGGTACGGCCAGCAGTATCAGAGCTTTCAACGAGTTCTCGCCGTGTACGAGGTGAGAAGGGGGGATGGGGGGGGGGAGCGCAGGGACACATGTAACGAGGGCATACGTATGGTGAACAACGTTTGCAGACGATTACCTGGTGAACGAAGGAAGAAAAACGTCCCTGGGGCGGTGGGGGGGGGACGGGGGGGTGCGCAGGGACACATGCAACGAGGGCATACGTAGGATGTACAACGTTTGCAGGCGAACACCTGGTGAAGGAAGGAAGAAAGGAGAACGTCCCTGTCTCCCTAAACAACGCTTTCGCACAAGTGCTGTTCTGCCAAAGAGTTTTATGTTTTTCGTGTTGGCAGTCGTCTCATGGAGTCGACCTCGAGCATACTGTCTGTACCAGGTGGAATGGAGGTTTCCGCTTTTCCATGCGAGTCTGCAGCAAATCCTGACACATCACTGCTACCGCCGTATCCCGTGGGCCTCTTTCTATTTGTACTGCACATCGATGTAGGTGAAAATACGTGTGTTCTCTGAAGCAAGAGATGAGTACTGCTGTAGGAGGTATGAACAAGGACTGCCCTCTACATCTAGGTCGCTTCCCGGACAAATTCCTGCTGCTCCGTGCGGTGTCACACGTGATGCTTGTGTCGGGTGCCCAGTTTTCCGTCATGAGGACATGTGTTCCGTGTTGGCCTGCTGATATTCCGTGGCGGGCTTTCGTTTGCTTGTTCGCCGCTTAGGATGGCGGTATGTGTGTACTACCGTGGTGTGGATTGTTTTTCTCTGTCAGTTTCACGTAGTCTTGACTATCCTGTTTGCGCGTGCACCCACCCTGTGTGCCTGTGCTACCCCCCCCCACGTCTGTTGGGCACGTTCATTTACGCTATGTCTTGGTCGGCCTGCTTCCGGCGAAACCCTTGCTTGTGGTTGGACAACGCAGACGGAGCCGGACAACTTTCCTCGATTAATGGAGCTGATGCAGGATATGCAGGAGCATGGCCAGGTGCGGTGTGCCCCCTTTGGACTGCAACCTACATATATGAAGTACTCATCTCCGGGGCGATCTCAAAGAAGGAGGAGTTCCCCAGTTCCCTAGCTCAAGTTGTTTGTCCTCAAACGTGCACCCAATTTCCAGGACTTGCGTTTGTTCAACATTCGCCAAGTTTCCCCACGCCAGCCCCACGGACAGTAAGTGCCATCCTAGCGCTCGCTGTTTTGTGTGTGTGGCACCTGTGGACTCGCAACAGCTGTGCCATCCCTGTGGACTCGATGGTATGAGAAAGTTGTCTGTGGTACATACATGTTGGTCGTGGGGTCGAATGACCCCACACTTTCACTCCGAGGGTTGCTCCTCTCGCCGTTAAGTTCGTCTCTGATAGACCAACGTAAGGAACGACGGGGGTGAGCAACAATAGAGATTGAGGTGCTCGGACCCCTCCAACCGAACGAAACAAGCGCAATCGGGCCGCTTGTCGCCACAGGTGCCCGCGGAAATCATCACGGAGTTGGCACCAGGATTGGAATTTAACGCCGAAGGGGCGCCGATCATGCCCAACGTCGGGGAGGGAATGATGCCCAACCTCCCAGGGTTCCCTATGGGCGAGGGCGCAGAAAATTGCTGTGTTAGCTAGGGTTATCCTTGCTGAGCCAGTGCGCTTTTGCGAGCTTTTGCCCTGCCGCGTAGCGTAGCCTAGGGTAGGGCTGTGCGCCCGAGATGCATGACACTATCATGTCGCGAAGCGAGGCGTTGTAAAGTGTGGATGTGTGTCCACGGCACATGGCCGTGTCGAAAGAATGACAAAGAGTAAGGCAACCATTCCCAACGTTCAAAGTACTTTCAGCCATGGAACAAACAACCAGACGAAACAGCGCCGACATTGCATGTGCCGGTGCCGGATAGATCTATCAAGTGCAGGTTCGGTATAGCAATCGTTGTAGCATTCGGGACAGCCTTGCAAGAATCATCGAAGAAGCAATTAATTGGGCACACGACCCACTCTGTGCACTGTCGGCGAGGTCGGAAGCGCGAAGCAACGCTGTAGACGTGATGGGGGTACAATACAAGTACAGGGTCGCGTCGACACGTTATGGAGTCAACCCCTGGAACGAATAGAAAGTTCCTTTTTGGAGGAAGAATGAATGCCCTGCCGCACGCAAGGATCTGATGCATCTCATTCATTACTTTTTGGGAAACAAGGAGAACAAGGGAGAGAAGAGCGCAGCCCGTACCACGCGAGTGGCGAGAGCAAAACGTGACCGTATGCCAGTTCCCCAGCCCTGTCGTACCTTGAACGTCTCTGCGTCAAGCGATCCAATCAAACGAGCAATCCCTACAAGAGAGCGCTGCTGTAGTAACTCTACCTACGCTCGAAATCAAGGCAGATCTCGTGCGCTGCACCATTTGCAAAGGTGGGATGTTTTCCTTCCCATGGACCCCAATATGGTATGTAACCACACCTGTACTTACTTGGGGATATAGCGACCAGGTCATCCTGTTGAATTGCCTTGACCCAGATTATTCGTAACGCACTGATATCATCACGTCTGCCCCGGCGAACGAGTCGCTCGGCAATGTCTGTACTTCAACTATTACCATTTACCAAATGTTTACACCTCAGGAAAGTGCCACGTGGTATGCGAGGTAGATTATTCTTTCCCCTCCATCGCCTTTTGTACGCGTGTTGAAGCCACACAGAGTTACCAACTCAACGGACGGCCTCATGGACACATACCTATTTTCTTAATATGACACAACGAATCCATCTCTAAGAAAAGAGTCCAAGACAGTCAGCAATGAATCTATACTCTGTGAAGGCTACCAGTGTTCCCATGATTTCCCGAGCAGCATGCAGCGACATATCCCCCGTGGGTAACACTGCTGTAGGTCAACAAGGCAGTGTGGTGTGCATCTATCTGCATGTTATGCCGGAAATGTACGGAAGGACAGTGTTGGGTAGTTGGTTTGTCGGGTGTGTTGTCGATGGCACCCTTATGGAACTGTTCCAAGTTTGAGGTGTGTGTGGTATGATTACTGTTGTACGGCGTAGAGAGGCACGGGATCATGTTTTTACTCCTTCCGTGTTGTGCTGACGTGGTTATGTATTGATTGGTGCAGCCAGCGTGTCATATTTGGATGAGCATGGCGTGGGTCGGATGTATGTGGGGTGTATCGACGTACCATGTAGTTTGTAGGTATCATGGGTCGGTTGTGGCTTGGTCATTTGGTGCAGGTCATGTGATGTGAAGGCAGCAGCAGTAAACAATGGGTACGGATGGTAGTGCGGAAAGTAGGCCTGTGTAACTCTATGGTGTTCCAAGTGGTCCTTCCTGTTTCTCCTGGTGTCGTCAGCAGCAGTGGCCGTGCAAGCATAACAAAGCGGGCGTTATAGGAAGGTGTCAGCAGGTGAACGGCAGCATAGATAGGGAGTCACAAGTACAGTAGTTTGCGACAAGCAGCAGAGAGGAGCGCGCGGTGCGTTTCTATAGCTGTATAATCCGTCCTCCTCCAGACCTAACGGAGATGGTTACTTTAGCACAACGCCTGGATCCGAAATGCCGGCTAGCCCCGAAAACCAAGAGAGGTGGGGGGAGTAGCTAAAACGAATGACTGTGTGTGTGCTGCTCAGCAGCTGTTTTCGGCTGGTTCTTTGTGAAGGGTAGATTGCTGATTCGGCGAAATAGCGGTATATCCAAATTGCCGATGGTTTTCACCCGGGTACATGGGAATTGCAAGGGAAAAGTATTTATACATTTTGGCATCATCCTGTTTGCAAGGGACACGTTTCATTTTGTCATAACATGTATGATGAGGTTAATTAATTTCGGTACATTCCAGTTTCACACTACAAATAAATAATGTGCGTCTACCACTAGGAGATGCTCCCGCGCCGCCCTCAGCCTCAACGCCAATCCGAGCTCTCTTCACACTAGCACGTGATGGAAAATAATGGAGCAGTTCCGTCCCAGCGGTGACAGGGCTGGTCATCGAAAACGATAACCCATTTTCCGCGTCAGCCAACAACCCGGGTGCCGTTTCCTGGTTAGGACTCTTCGTGCCGAACAAATCTCTTCGCTCGATATTTTCCTTGCTATCACCCGCATCGCATGCGTTCATGTAGTATAGGAAGCATGACGGGTCGAGTCTCAGCACAAGCAATAACCCACTCCCCGCATCATACTGCCCGTCTACCACTAATGCAGCGAGGAGTTCCGTACCGCACACTACGTAGCGCGGCTTCCCATCATTTTCTACGGCAGCCAGCAACTGGTCGGAAGTCAAGAGCTCATACTGGCCCTGGCCGAACATGGGCATGATCTCCTGGTCCTGGATGGTCCACAGGCCGCCACCCTTGGTGGCATCCTGACACGAAAGAGACGGCAACGGCACAAGAGAAACGACAAACGAAGCAAAATACATGTATGCATGGACGGAGGGGTGGGCAGGGTTCGAAAATTTTTCGCACAAAACAATTAAAACAACCAAAAAATAACAATGAAAACAAACAGTGGGACGACGAGCTGACGATTCTGCGCTGGCCTAAAAGTTGTTGTGGCATCCATCGACCGCGTCACATCACAATCCGATTCTTACGCTGTCAGATTGTGTGGATGGCTCTGCGCTTACCCTGATTTCCAGGCCGAACTCCGCTGCGGTACGTTTGGCGAATTCCAAATTCCACCCTCCGGGGCCGCTTCCATCATCGTCTTCGTCGTAGCCGTGTCGAATGTTCTCGATATCCACCTGCGAAGCCTGGGACATGTTGTGCGAAGGAAAACCGGCCGGCAAAACACTCCCGCCTAGCGGTACACCAGCATTAGCAAGTGCTTTGAACCACCCCGCCGTCATAGCCGTAGCAAGAGCGGATTTGACCTGCCTCCCTACCGAGACCGCCTTTGCGGGGTCTCCTACAAGGGCGAAAAGACGGCGTCCGCTGGTCAGTACGAGGCTCGCAAGGTTGTTGTCCTCGAAAGCAGAAACAAGTACCTTGTCGCCCGCGGACGTGAACCTCATGGCGCAAGAACAAGACACGATAGCAGCGACGGACGTTGGGGAGAGTGGAATATTAGAGTGGCGACTGAAAGAAAACTCGCTTCGCTCGAATACCAACAGAAAATGTGATAAGACTAAGGCGGTGGGAGAATGAGATGCTTCTGTCCATTTCTACCCCTCCGCACACCTGTTCAACAGGTGGTCCGCCATGGAAGGCGCAAGGAAAGTCGCAGAAGGATGCTTCTGCGAAATAATTATCCCGACAGCCTCCAGTTGACTTATCCGTGGTGGGTCGAACTGAGGGCCTGATGCGTGAGAGGTGTGCTCGCCCGTCTTGTGCGCAACAAGGACAGAGGCTGTCTGCCTGGTGTACTTCCTCTGCTTGCTGTCGGTAGGAGTTCGCCCGGCGAGCTTATTGAGGTACACGGACGTGACGGGAAACGCCTCAAGTGCAAGCCCCGCTTCTTTCAGAGAATCTGCATTATTGTCAAGCAAATCCGTCCGTCGTGCTCGAAATCAAACCACCTCTCTTCGTAATTGCATTTACTTACTAAAGGCAGTTAGCATCAGCGCAGCTGCGAAGACACGCATATCCTCAAACAAGCACACGCAGGGAAGGGGCACCAGGCATGTCGTCTTCAGCAACAATACTGCCAGGTGTCTGCGGTTCATGTTCTCAAAGCATATTCGTATGAGGAAACCCTCTGACCCGTCAACTCTTGTCTCCGCCCGCCTTCGATGTGATTGTAGTTGAACGACATCGACTTTATCGTACCTGTCATGTGCTTGTAGTTGAACGACACCGTCGACTCCATCGCGATAGCGAGCGAGCCGCGGTCGTCGAGCGTTCCGGCGATTTCGGTCAAAGCACGAACCAGGCGGACTTTTCCGTCGGCCGAATCGTCCAGGATTGACCGGTCGCCAGCAACGTTCAGGAAAGCCAACATGATCGAGCCGTCGTCCTCCAACAACGGATTGGTGCTGACGTTCCATACTGAGCTTAACGGGTCGACTATTTGCACCTGGGCCACTTTTTTCCTACTCGTGAGAATGGGGAGGTACAGGGTGGGCCGACCAAGAGAATGGATCAGAACCGGAACAAGCCACGATAACTGAGGTATTTCCGCGATTATACCAACCGACCGATGATGCAATGGTCGTTGTCGGACACCACCCCAAAAGGAGCTAGTAAAAAAACATCTTGCCATGATTTCTACTTTCTCGCGGGCTACTGATGGAGCGACTTACTCGAGTTTTGCACTTCGCTCGTCGTTCGCCGTAGATGTCGATGGAGCAATCGTGGGCGCCGGTGCGGCTCTCTTCCTCTTGGCTGGCACCACGGGCACCTCTTCAGGTCACAAACACGAAGGTGGGACGCAAGGGCAATGCCACGAGTGAGTACAAGTAGGAGTGTACCATTCAATTAAGACATCGGCTAAAAGATGTTGAAAGCAGCACAGGCAGGAACAAGGGAGCGGAACACTGAGCAGTGAAAAAATAGCCGTGACTCATTTATGCTTCCATCACTCATGGCCAAAGGGCAGTATTGCATGAAATTAGCTGTTCCAATCATCGCAACGTGGGAGCGCGCCAACCGCAACATCAGCTGATGCAAGTGCACCCACCTTTCTCCATGTTTCCCTTGTCTCCAGTGTTGGTCGATGCTCCGCCCGTTGTAGCTGCAGCGCTGTCCTTCGTCCCGGAACTCCCTCCCGACGAGGTTGGAGGGTCTGAGGACGGGCCAGCCGACGATGTAGACGTTGCCGATGATGTCGCAGCGGGTGCATCCGCTGCTGCCGCGGGGGTGGTAGTCGGTCCTTTACCTTTCCCTGCACCGACGTACGAACAAGTGCAAGGAGGACAATAAATGAGACATGAGGATAGGACAAGTTGAGCTGACACGTGACGAGAATAGCATCGGCACGTCAATTCGGTTGCGCTTGAGTTGGCAGCCGTTTCCGGCGGCCTAAGGGTGCACACGCCCACCAGAAGGAAAAGAAAACGTCGCTGCCCGCGAAAACGTCTAGTACCTACACACCTTGCTTGGATCCAGAGCCTGCATCCGCAGCAGGGGCTTTACCCTTCTGAACGAAGTCGGCCTTGTCGGACACACTAGTCTGCTCTATATCTTTTTTTCCTTTCGCGTATGCTTCCCATTTGGGTTTCATCTCAGGGTCGTCCTGGAGGAGCTGTGCAATCCGAACACCGTGGGGGGTGTGTGTGTATGATAAACGACGACGGCGAGGAGGGCGAACAAAGCGAAGTCAATAGTTGGAAGGAATACGTAGGAACCCCCAGGAAGCGAAATGCGATGGCGGAGACGACAACATGATATGGGATGTAAACCCGAATACGCACGCTGAGTTGAAAAGGACAATGTTTGAACGAGCCACTTTGCCTTGACTGTGCTGGCGTGAGGCTCTCGAAGAAGCATGTTGATGTGATCTTTGGAAACCTCCATCTTCTCCGGGAGCGTCTTTTTATAGGCTTCGACGTTCGTCTGTAAGCCGATCAGGTGCCCGTAGTAGCGACTTTGGAGTCCTCCAATCATGACTTTCCTCATGCCGCTTCACAAAGAACAAGCACAGAGGGAGGCAAGAGGCGTTGCGCGAGGCCAGGTAAGTATTACTCCCAGGTGTATGTTTATACTTTTGATTGCAAGAGGCACCACTCCAAAACTCTTCTGATCCTAAGTAACTCAAGGCCGGCTTGCTGATTACTGCTGCTGCTATTTGCTGCTGTGTGATCAACATGTAACAAGGGCACTGGTAAGTGCTCAACACGCTTGCTACCGTTTGAAGCCCTCCGACCACTCTGCACGAGGGATGATGCTCTCGACCCGCTCAATTTCCTGCGCGATAGTCTCCGCCGTACTGTCGAGGGTCTTGCACTGCTCGTCGTTGAGCTGCTTGTTGGTCGTGATGGCGCCCCTGGTATTCGACAAACAGGCATGCGTCCAAAGAAATAAATCACAACGTTTCAGTGCGCGGACCGCAACAACATGATCGCACAAACAAAGGTTCCATATACGCGACGCGCCTCAGCATCACTGACACGCACACTCACAACAAACGGTGGCAAAACCGAGAGGCGGGGTTAGTGTATAAACATCGTACCTACTTTTAGGCAGGCTTGCGGTGCTGCGTTACTTACTTTGCCAACCGATAGACATACGCTTCCTGCTGCCACTTGTTCATGCCCTGGAACTTTGTTCTTTCCACCAGCTTCAACGTCACGCGTTTGTAGTCCAAGCTAGTGAGGTCAGGGTGATTGGGCTCACGCCCGGGAAGATAGCTGAGGTCCCTCAGCGCCTCGAGGCCATAGGGTGTGATGTTGAGAGCAATGCCAATCCACTTCTTGAGGGTCTGATTCGCGGGCGCTTTTTGGCTTTGCTGCGTCCGCATGAAAGCGTGAACAAAGAACAACGGAGAACGATGACATGGATGTGTGGGTGTACTGATAATTGTACATTACATGTACGACCACTGGAAACAAAAATACCGGTATCACTACGACGCCGGTGTCGCCGCAAAGACGCCGCGAATAGGGTTGCCTATTTTCCGGCAAGTATTTCTGCCGCGGGTTGTCGCCGACTTGCCAGCATCAATCTATTGCTGTATATGTTTTATACCACAACAATTCTGTCCAAAACAAAAGATCGCGGGCCCGACCCAATGGCTATTAGCACAAGACTTGATAATCGGGCGAATCACGGTCTGTGTCGTACATATCATACTGTTCGCTGGCCCGCGACACCACTACATTACAACCGCTGCTGTGGCTTACGTTCGCGAAGTCTTTCTTGATCGCTTTAAGGATCTGGTCGTTGGTCATGGCGGTACTGCCTTGGTGTTGTTCTTGTAGTGCATGGATAACAGATCTGTACCACACCACTTCGTCCACGAGGAGGGTCTTGACCACGTTCGAAGAAATTCGGTTGCAGCCTGAACACAAGAAAGTCGCACCGGACAACAAACCACCAGCGTTCATGAGTACTGAAGGGAAAATAAATGTCCTTGGTGTGATGCGAGGTTCAAAAGTTGACGTATTAATATCAACACCGGTCGTAGCGTCACCACCTGCTGCCCACCCCCCGCTGGCGTATCATACAACATACTAGAGTTGGAGGTGGAATAGTTTTTTGTGGTGGTTGCACAAAAGTACCTGCAGTAGGCTCGTGCGTCTGTTACATAAGAACGGGGGGCGGTCCATCATCACCAGCTAGAGAGGGGGGTGGTATCCATCATCATTCGCTAGAGCGGGGGGTGGTGTCCATCATCAGGTAGCGAGGGGGGTGGTATCCACCGCCAGCCGTGAGGGGGGGGTGCTGTCATCAGAGGGGGGGGGGGGCTATCCATCGTCATCAGCTAGAGAGGAAAAAAACAACGTTGAAAAATTCCCCGGCTTGTGCTGCTGCTGCTGCTGATTGTTTGAACAGGACGCTTCCGCCACCGCTTTAGATAATAGCAACAGCAGCAGCAGCAGAGGCGACACACCCTCTCGCCCACAATGAGTGTAGAGAGGTGCACA